AGCTGTTTGGTCGTCGTCCTTCCTTATGGGAAAGACGAAAAAACTTATTATGTGTTTTAGTGAATTAGCCCCACATTTATTTACTTATATATGTACACTCGTTGATATTTTATACAGGTGTTGTTATTTTGGAGCCCCATTAACCTTTTTGATTTTATGTATTAGCCACATAAGTTATTTTATTTCCAAATTATGAATCCAGCCCATTACATGGATCTATTGGGCCTTAGGTTCTGATATTTTTTTTTGAACATATGGTATTCCGAGTTGTACATAATTGGTGAAAAAAAATGATAGAATACATATTTTTGTATCATCTGCAATTAACTTAATACAATGATATATATCATATACCAACTTAAACATTGCTATGCCCCTTCTTCGATCATGTACACTTGCTTCGGAAAACCGGCAAAAGTTTTGATTATTGCGACATCACCGGACATGAGCTCTACTAGTGAGAGATAATGCGATTATTCATTAAAACCGAGATCCAGAGATCGTGATACCAATGCTTTTTGGATCACATTCAAGACATGACAAACTTAGATTTGTTGAACTATTGTCACCGGTGCACACCCCATCACAACCAACACCATAAGGAAGAACAAAACGGCACGCTGACAACCACACTTTAGACGCACAAATGATAAGAGAAAACAAAAGTATAGTTTCCCTTAATCTAATCTTCTTCTTATTCTCTACTTTGTCTTCAAGCAACAATCTGTCCAATCCACTTCTCCTCGTGAACTTAAACACATCACAAGGAGGAGAAGATGATGAGGAATAAACGTTGAAGATGACGTCGTAAGTTGAAGAAGACGATCCTGTAGATTCCACGTCATATCAATCATTGCAGAATTGCAGAGCCTTCGAGAAGAGTTACGTTAAAGATCGCCTATGCGAGCGAATGATGATGAGAAAACTCCACCGTAATAAGCAAAGTCATCGCCAATTCGATCATCATAGCCAACTTGTGGAAGTTCAACTCGAAAAAACACCACTAGAAACTTGATAAAGTCACGTTCGAAGCCGGAGAAGAACCGTCGCAACCGTCGCCTTTTCAATCTCATGAACATCTCTGACATGAATCCGAACCACAAACTTGTTATATATACATTATAGAACTAACAAGAGACTAAAGCAGAATAAGAAATGGAACCACCGGCGAATGCCGGCGGCCCAAACCGGTGTGTAGTCGTGTCCAAGGGGAGAAAATGATGGTTCAAAAATCGTTTGAGGGAGAAAAGCTAGGTTTGATATTTAGGGTTAGAGAGTTGATTTCATTTGAAATTAGTGGTGATGACCAAAAATAAGAAAAGATTAGTGAAATAAACGTACTAATTCTCCCTCAAAATTTCCATATCTGTTTAGATAGATCCGAAAACTAATCTCGTACTATTTCCCCTTATAACTACATTACACGCTTATTTTCCCACATAATAAATATTAAGCGTTTATTTCCTCCTAAGATGAATATTAAACGCTTATTTCACCCCAAATCGGTTAAAATTTGGTTTACTGTAGACCAAATTTCTGTTAACAAATTTATTAGAAACCAAAACCGTTACTTAACCGTTAATAACCCGATTATCAAACAGTAAACCGAAACCCAATCGAAACCCACACGAAACCTACCCGAAACCCATCTGAAACCCACCTGAAATCCTCTTGACTTGGTTGCTAATGCGATTGGTGAGATTGAGAAGATGGATCTTCTAGAGGAGGTTGAGTTTTGAGAGGGAGAAGTCCCCAATCGGCGCAGAAGAGAACGTGGAGTAGAACAACGGCGTCTTCGGGACTGATGTAGTAATCTACAGCCCAACGGACGGCAAAGGCGTTTTCATCAGAGAGATCAACGGCGACTCCGATTTTACGGCGAGCTCCAGCGGTTGGGGTTGCGGGGGAGGAGGGAGTGGAAGAGGAGTGGTGGTGGTGAGATTGACGAGGACAAGGAGGATGGTGAATCAACTTCGATTGTCTTTCGTGTGCTTCTTTTTCCTCTTTTTGATTTCGCTTTGAAAGGAGAATCTGAACTTGTTGAATGAGAAAAAGTATATTTGAGCTAAATTGATTACCAAAAAAATTCAGCTCGAATCATAAGCTCAATAATGCAATAAATCAATTGGTAGTGTCCGATTGTTGCATAAACCGATGGGATTTGTTCTCTTATTACAGCTCTCATGTGCTTGTTTTTTATTTTGCTTATGCAACCAATCGGATTTGCTTATTTGCTGTTGCATAGAAGATGAAGAAGAA